GCGACGACAACCAGGTTCCCCGAATATTCCCAGGGGGCCTGAAAGCGCACCTGTGTGGGAGCCCTTTCGGCGTGTCGGGGCGCACTTGAAATACTGGAGAACCTCCTGCTCCGATGGCGGGCGACGAGAGTCACGTTCCCAGAAGGCTCTCCGGATTTTTTGGGTTGTGGCCGTGTGGGGGCCATCGCGGAGGCCTCTGTAGGGTCCTGTCGGGGTGTCGAGGCTCATGTGGGAAGCTTTTTGGGACTCCTCGGCCTCGTGTAGAACCCTCTGGAACGTCGAGGCTCGTATTAAGCCTCCATGCAGTGTGAAGGGGCTTTCTCGTGGATGCCTCTTGGGCCGCCCCCGTGCGTCGGGAAGCGGAGCAGACGACCAATTACAAAGCATTGACAACGACTGACATGCTTTCTGGAGAAAGCGGAGCAGACCGAACCAATACGACAATTACCAAAACAACAAAGCATTGACAACCGAGTGACAATCACTGGTTTCTACTCCTGGCAGCTCTTCGGAAGGGGGGGCAGTTTTAGTTTTTTGTAGCCTCCTTGGGGCCGTCTTGCATGCTTCGCGGCAGCACGGAGCTCTCGGTCGGCGTGCTGGGAGCCGTTTTGGAATCCCTGCGTCCCCTTACGGCCCGCTGCGTGTTTCAGGCTCATTTGGGATCGGGGGCGGGCAAAGAGGGGGGTGATGACTAGGGGGGGGTGGATATCATGGCGGGGGCCATGGTTTTGCCCCAGATCTCATGGCGCCTCTTCTTGTTTCATTACGTCCCTGGCCCCCCCGCTGGGCCGCGCACATGCCGCCGGTCATGATTTGCGCCCCCCCCTCTTGCACACCCCCCTCTTTTCCGCTCCCGATTGGAGAGCCGCCTTGAGCACTCTTTCACCATTCAGTTTCTGGGGTGACACGTGTCACCCGTGCGCTTCTTCGTGATGATTCTCATGTGGTGTTGCTCGCGCGCGTACGCTCGCGCGCGCAGGAATGTGTGGTGTTCAACAATATGGGATCTCATCTTGAGGCCCAGAAAAGTGACATGATTGGTTTGCCCCAGTGGATGATCGGGGTGACACGTGTCACCCGTGAGCTTCTGCGCGATGATTTTCCGGTCCAGGTCCGGAGGGAGGGAGTAGGGGGAGGGACGACCTCTCCCCCGAAGGGGAAGAAGGGTGATTTCAGGCGATCGCAACCATGGATCAAGGGGGCGTGGAGCGACGGGTCCCGCTTCCATGGGAAATCGCGGATATCCGCCGCCGAGCGAGGCGGCACCGACCGCATTTTGGGGAGGGCCCCTCCCCCCGGTCCATGGATTTGGTGACCGCGCGCCAAATCCATGGATCGCATCCATGCTTGCGCGCCCCCGAGAACGGTCAGGAGGGGAAGAAACACACAGGCACAATTCACCGTCGATCCCCAGGAACATCTGGGAAAACATGGACAATGGGGGGGACGACGAACGCCCAGAAAATGAAAAAGAGAATCTATAGGGGAATCCTGGGATTTGTGTGCACGTATTTGTGTGCCCCAGCCGGTGCCCCTGTAAAGGGGGATGGTCGGGAGCCTTGAGACGGGGGTCAATGCAAACGGAGGTCAGCCACGGCACTGGATCCTGCAGGATCTTGCGAAGACCCTCTCTGGCTGACCCGGGTCAGGGAGCCGCTCGCGGCCGCGAGGCGGCCGCGCCTATTGGCTGACCCGGGTTTGCTTGGATCTGCGTTGCAGTTTTTTTGTCCTGCATTGCAGTTTTTGGTTTCCTGCTGACCCGGGTCTGGATTGAGATGGGGAGGAGCAGTCCCCGACGGACCACTCGCGCCCTAAGGGCTGGGGGGGTGCAGCGGCCGGCCGGGCTCCCTCGCGACGGGGGCCCCGGCCGACCGTGGCCTGCGTGGGCCGATCGGCGCCGGCCTCCTGAGGCCCCGCTGTTGGGCTGGAGGGAAAAAAACACACAGGCACAATTAATCTTCGATTTCCCAGAAAATATAGGAAAATATGGGAAGTGGTGGGGAAGACAAAAAACCCAGAAAATATAGGAAAATATGGGGAATCTTTTTATTTGTGTGTATTTATTTGTGTATCCCAGTTTCCCTTCAGTTGGGCTGGGCATGTCCCTCTACAGGAGGAGGATGCAAGAATGTAAACAACTAGTCGGGGCACTTTCTTCTGTTTTCTTGTTTCGGGGAAGCGTAAGACCCGGGTTTGCCAGGACTCGGGTTCGCCATCGTTTTTTGACGACCGCGGTTCGGATTTTGACGAGTAGGAGTTTCGTGGGATGTCTGCAGCGGGAGGCCTCGTCAAAATGCATGCTCGGCCTCGTCATTTTTTTGACGACCTCGTCGGGGATTTCCGAGTCCCCCGTACCCGCCGGGTCTTACGTCTCCCCGATTGTTGTGTATATTTGTGGGCAAATGTGCATTTGTCGCCCATGATCCGCCGGCGGGGGGACATGCCCGACCTGACCCGTCTGGGCCCCAGCAGGGGGCCCCGGAGGCCGACGTCCAGGGGGAAACCCTCCAGACTGGAACGAGGCGTGGCGTCGGAGTTCCGGGCCCGTCGTCGCCCGCATCTCAGGGGTGAGAAACAACACAGACACGAGCCATCGTCTCCCAGGAAAATACAAGAAAGTACGAGAAAGTATGAGAATGGAAAACACGAGAAAGTATAAGAAAATACGTGAAAGTATGGGCATTCGGGGGGAAGAGGGAAGCCCAGGAGGAAAACATAGAATATGAGGACTCCTGGGATGTGTGTGTGTGTGTGTATTTGTTTGTGTGCCCCAGGGCCCCTTCAGCATCGCCGTGGGTGTGAGCCTGAGCCGCCGCTCAAGCACACCCAAGAGGGGGTCCAGCTGAAAGGGGGTGGTGCAATAGATTCGGGGCAATGGTACTGCAAATGTATTGCGCCAGGGAATTGTATTGCAATGTATTGCAAGTAAACGCATTGCACGCCGGAATGTGTTGCACGCCCCAAATGTACTGCAACCCCACGAACCTATTGCACCAATCTATTGCGCCACCCCCTTGTCGCTGGACCCCCTTTGGGGTCAATCCGTTCCGCCGCCGCCGCCGCCGCCCGCGGTCGTCGGGAGGACCTGGAGGCGAGCCGCCTGACGCCGGGCGCGCTCGCCGTGCTGCGCGCCGCGCCGGAGCCGCTGGACTTCCTGCGCTCGGCGTGCCAGGAGCGCGCCCCTCCTCGGCGCCGCCGTGGCAGCCGTCCCAGACCCGCTCGGGTAGTGGCAAACATCGCGGCGGGAGGTTTCTCGCTACTTTCGGCTTCGGGGGGCCCTCGCCGGGCCTCGGGACCGTCAAGCAACGACTCAGGGTGAAAGGCCGGTCAAGGGGAACGGGTCGAGACCTCCAGGGGTCGACGTCATGAAAAAAGTCATGGCGTCGGGGGTCGAAAGCGACGCCGTGGCTCGTCCCGGAGGGCCCTCGTGGCCACGGCTGAATGCTCGAAGTCTTGGCCAGGACGCACGCCAGGAGAAGTCCGTGGAGCAGCCGCGTGTCGGTAATTGCCTGTTGGCTTCCCCAGTCGGTGTCGTGTGCGTCGTCGTGCTCGTCGCCGTCAGCGGTGGTGGTGGCCGCCGCCCGTCGTCGGTCGGACTGCGACGGCGGCGGAGGATGAGGACGTGGGCCTGGGAAGGAGGAGGAGGAGGAAGGGGAGCGGAAGGACGGGGTGGGAGTATCAGAGGAAGGCGCCGCCGCGCTCTTCGCCATCGTCGCCGTTGGTCGCCGCTTTCTGTCGCCCGTGTCCTGCGGGTCGCCGTTCTGGTTGGCGTCGCCGTCCTGTCCGCCGCTCCCGTCGCCATCGTCGTCGCAGGTGGCAGGTCGCTGTGGTGGTCGGTAATTACGTCATTGGTGTCGTCGTCGTCGTTGTCGTAGGTCGTTGGCGTCGCCGTCGTCATTAAGTACGTCGTCGTCGTCGTCGTAGGTTGTCGGCGTCGCCGTGGGCTTCGTCGCTGGTCGTCCTCGTCGTTGTCGTCGCTGGTCGTCCTCGGCGTCGTCGTCGTCGTCGCCAGGAGGCGCTCGGTCCCTACAAGACTGACCCGCTCGTGCGGGGCGTGGTGACACGGCTGTCGCTGGAGCGCTGGCGGGGCGCGAGGCGGGTTGCCGAAGGACCTCGTTCGCACCGACCCCGTCCACGTCCATACGTCTCTCCCCGCCCCTCTCTTCTAGCCTCCTCCGTATCCCCCTCTTTCCCCTCTTTGTAGCCAGCTGGGGGTCTGAGGTGGCCAAGCATTTTGTTCTGGCCGTAAGAGGAGCGCTCGATGTCACGTTTGCGGCATCGCTGACGTGTGTCACGCTCCGTTTCCTATGAGTGGTAGCAAAGGCTCGGGCGAAACGCTGGGCCCGCCCTTCCGACTGGCCTCGAGGTGCGACAGGGAGGAGCTACTATTGATCAGGAAAAAAGGACTTGAGGAGGAGGAGGAGGAGGATGAGGAGGCGGGGATGGAGGAGGAGAAGAAGGGGGTGAACGATCGGCAGCAAAGGTGAGGTCGTTAATTTGTGGTGAGCGCGTGCGTGGTATGGGGTTGGGGTGGGATCGGGGGCAGGAGGAGGGAGGGGAGAGGAGGGAAGGAAGCAGGGCAGCATGAGGAGTATGTAGGAGATTCGGTTCTAGGCCGCTCCAGTGTGTCCTGGGAGCGCGCCAGTGGTGGGAGGAGGGGGGACGGCAGGCGGAACGGGAGGAAGGGGAGGGGGCTGCCTGCATGGGCAGGATGTGATCAGCATCGCTCGCGGGGGTCCGCGGATGGCTCCTCCCTTGTTCATTTCTCTCTGAGAGGAGAAGGAAGAGGAGGAGGAGGAGGAGGAGGAGGAGGAGGAGGAGGAGGAGGAGGAGGAGGAGGAGGAGGGAGGAGGAGAGGGGGAGCCTCGGAAGTAAAAGGATAGAAGACAGGAGGTCGTCGCCTCCTTCCCCCCTCCTCCCTCCGGCGGCCGCGAGCGTTTCTTTGGTTGCCCCTCTCCCAACAGAATGGTGGCTGCTGCCGGAGGCGGATGAGGCGGCCCGCGCCCGCGTGGGCGACCAAGCAACGACGACGGCGGCGGCGACGGTGGCGACAGCGGCGGAATCCTTCTGGACGCTTCCAACCGAGAACCACCTGCAGCTTCTGACACCGTCGACGGTAACGGAGACGTCGGCGGCAACGACGGCGGCGGCGATTGCGACGACGGCAGAAACGGCGGCGACGTCGGCGGCGACGACGGTCACGGCGGCAGCTGCGACAGCGGCAGCGAAGACAACGGTGGCGACGACGGCGGTGGCGGCGACAACGTCGACGGAAGCCTTCCGCAAAACGAACGCCCAATGCCACCGATAGGGCCGACAGCGGCGGCAGACATGACGATCACTTACCACGACCACAACCACGACGAAGACGACGACGGTCGCGACGGCGAAGGTTACAGCGGCATCAACGACAGCGGGAGCCTTGGGTTAACCGCCGATGCAACGAGAGGGGCGGACACGGCAGAGACGACGACGACGATGGCGACGGCGACGGCGACGGCGACAATGACGACGACGACGACGACGACGACGACGACGACGAAGACGACGACGACGACGACGACGACGATTGCGACATGACGACGACTACGACGACGACGATGACGACGAGTACGACGACGACGACGCTGACGGCAACGGCGGCGATGACGGCGTCGACGACTGTCACGACGGCGACGGTGACAACGTCGACGACGGCGACAGCGGCAAGGTCGACCACGGCGACGGCCGCGACGACGGCGGCGACGACGACGGCAGTGTTCCTGTCGTCGTCGCCGTCGCGGCGGCGGCAAAGACGGCGACGAGGACGAAGACGGTGGCGGCCCAGTGGCCTAGCCCCCAGAGGCGGCGCGCTCAGGCGCGTGCGAGGCCGCGGGCAGCGGGCTGCGGGCCTGCGCGCTGCGCGTGAAGGCCCGCTGCTCGCGTCGCGCCGTCGTCCTCGTGATCGGTCGTCGCTGGTCGTCGTTTTCGTTGTCGGCCTCGGTCGTCGCCGTCGTGGTCGTGGTTGGTCGTGGTCGTTTGTCGTCGTCGTCGGTCGTCGTCGTCGGTCATCATAGTTCGTCGTCGGTCGTCGTAGTTCGTCGCGGGCGTGACCGTATGTTGTACTCGTAGGGCCAACATTGCCGCTCCCCCTCTTGTTGCTTCCTTTTGGCTGCCTGGGTCACCCCGCAGTGCTCTTACGTCTTACGTTCTAGAACTAGCTACCTGCTACTACTCGTACAACTGCCACTGCCACTACCTAGTACTACGGCAACGACTCCTACCACGCCTACGACTCTGTAACACGAAGGATCGTATTGCTGCGGTGACTGCCAGCACCAATGCGACCGCCACAGCTGTCCCTGCGAGTGCCACTGCAGTGCAGCACAGCCACGCATTCCTGCACGCACTGCGTGCGCTCCCCCGTGCCCTGAGAGCTCGTCTCCTGCTTCGTCCGCCCCTCGCCCCCCCATCCGCCCGCCGCGCCGCTTCCTCGCGCCGCCCCCCCCCCCCCCCCACCCCCCCCCCCCCCCCCGAGATGTCCGAGTTCCTCTGCCTCACCGCGCACGTGGAGGCTTGCGACCTCCTGCGCGGCACCGTCGCCGACGACCAGTGCCTCGCCGCCGCGCCCTGCCTGGCGGCGCTGCTGCGCGGCGCGCTCGGCGCCGAGGGCGAAAACGGCTTCGGGGCGGCCTCAGATGTCCGACGGCATCTCATTTCACCGGCGTGCGTTTCTGGAGAGCACATTTGTATACGGACGTGTTGGTTCTCTCTCTCTCTCTCTCTGTCTCTCCCTCTCTTTTACTTCTTTCTCTCCCATACTCTCTCTTTCTACCTCGAGGGCTTCGCCCTCTGCCGCCGGCCCCCCTATTACTCGTGCGGGCGGCTGCGTTGGGGTCTCCGTGGGGCCTCTTGGGGGTCTCCTTGGGGCCACTTGGGGGCCTCCTGGGGGCCTCTTGGGGGTCTCCTTGAGGTCTCTTGGGGGTCTCCCCGGGGCCTCTTGGAGACAATATTTTGGGTTTCTTGGGTCTCCTTGGGTCTGGGTGCCGCTGGGGACCTTCGTGGGGCCTCCTGGGGCCCTCTCGGGGCGGACAGGTAGAGTTTTCGGTTCGTAGACTCCCTCTTGGGCCTGTCTTGGGACCGTCTTAGGGCCCGTTTGGGCCGTCTGGGGCGCCTCTTGGGGGCCTTTTGGGCCGTCATGGGGGCTTCTGGGGCCGTCGTGGGGCGATCTTGGGAGCCTCTTGGTCCGTCTCGGAGCGTCGGAAAGCCGAAAAGGCGAGAAGGCCAGAAACCTTCAAAAACGTTAGGACGATCGTTGATGTTTGTTTCATGGAGCCCTCTTGGGAGGCCTCTTGGAGGCCTCGAGGGCCGTCTTGGGAGCATATTGGGCCGTCTCGGGATCATCGTGGGACATCTTGGGGTCATCCTGGGCCGTCTTGGCCTCCTGAGGCTCTCTTCGGAGCCTCTTCGGTCAATCTTGGAGGCCTCTCGGGCCGTTCTGGCCTCGCAGTGGCGTCACCATCAAAATCCTGGGGTGGCCCGGAGCAGCCTGGATTCGAGGTTCACACCCCCGGGTTGGCTGTTTAATAACGCAAAGAAACCTTTTGTCAGACAGTAAACAGGAGGCAGGAAACAGGATTGGAGACACAAAAGGCGAAACTACAAATGACAAGACATAACACACGACAGCAGTCCGCACACACCTTCCCAGCTTTGCGTCCCCAGAGGGGGCTGGCGGATATACGTATATACATGTGATGTGCGGGCGTAGTGCTGTGCATAAGGCAACTCTGGGCGTTATGATGTACAGGTTTATATGATCTTTCCCAGCTGCTGTTCTTGAGACTACCACGCCTTGCACAATAAAGATGTATACATACGTACATGTGTAAGCGTATGCATATATTTCAGAGTGGGGGTCTTGATGTCGGGGCTTTCCACCTCGGAGTATATAATCTCGTGCTTGGGCTAAGTCGGGTCTGTCCCTCTACAGGAGGAATCTTCCAAAATAGTCAAAGAATAGTATGTGGAACACGAGTTGTGGCATGTTTGATCATTCGGTTTTTTTTGCGTATGTTTTGATCTTTCGTCGAGAATCCCCTTGTAGGGGGACACGCCCGACTTAGGGCTTGGGCATGCCTCGCCTTTGTGGGCCCCAGAAACGGCAGGGCCGTTTTTTCACCGTTTCCGAAAAATGCCCTTTGAAAATGGAAGCGGCAACGAACACGGCGACCGGAAACGGCAACAAAAACGGCTCCAGGAGTGGAACTGGATCCGGCAAAGACGGAACTGGCAAAGTGGAACCCGAAACAGCAAAAAACGGCAAAGCAGAATTGGCAAAGAAAAACGGCGGAACGGAACCGGCAACAAAAAAGGAGGAGGAGGAGGAGGAGGAGGAGGAATTGGTAGCAGAGCGGCCCTGTCGTTTCCAGGGCCCACTGTTTATAAGGGCCTCGCCCCCACGGGGGGGCCTCGGGCCCTCGGCGGCGGAGGGGGGCTCCCGTCTTCTCCCGGCCCCGCGGCTCTTGTGGCCAGGCCTCGGCCGAGCCCCGCGCTGAAGGCGGAGCCTGTCCCTCTACACGAGGAATACCCATTACTCGGAGGAGGAAAAGGTACCCATACCACTGTCCTCCCCTCGTTTTCCCTTTTGCGGGCCTCCTCGGAGGCCCTCGTCGCCACCGTTGGATTCGCCGCGAAATCCTGGTCGGAACGCACCCCGGGAGAGGTCTGGGGAGTAGCGGTATCGGTACCTTTCGGTCTCCCCAATTACATAAACAAACAAAAACTAGCCTGGGAACTATTTGGGGGTTTTGTTTTGCCATTTTGGGATATTCTTTGGTGTGCTTCTTGTTTTTGAAGTCGGGCCTGTCCCTCTACCGGAGGAATGCTCAAAGATACTGAAAGGATCCTCTGGGAACTTTTTTTGTTGCCATTCTGGAATATTTGTTTTGAGTACTTCTTGTGTTTCGTCGAAAATCCCTCTATGGGGGACACGCTCGACTGAACCCCGCGCGCGGTGTCGGACCACCTGAACGCTGTCTGGGGAGGGATGGCGCGCGACCCCCTCCAGGCCGCGCGATGTGGAAGACATGCGTGGATGTGGCGTGAGAGCTCTGACATGTGTCCGCCCCATGGCCCGAGGCCGTCTCTCGAGTGGCCCCCTCGCACACGGGGGTTGGGACGAAGTTGCCGCCAAGGGGCCCAGCCCCATCGGGAAACACGGCGCGTTCCAGCAAGGGCCTTGGGCCCGAGATAAGGGCGGCCTCCCTCGGGGCAGCCTGGCGCGGCTTCCCCTGGGGCATCCTTGAGCGCTCGTGCCGTTTGGCGGCCTCCCTTGGGGCATCCTGGCACGACCTCCCAGTTGTGCCCCTCACGGCCTCCCTCGGGGTAGCCTTGGACCTCCACAGGGAGGCGTTCCAGAAGTGGGGCGTTCCCAAAACAGTGGAGCGTTCCAGAAATGGGGCGTTCCGCAAATGGTGCCAGGAGGCCGCGCTGCAATCCCCCCCCCCTCCCTGGCGCGCGGAGCGCGCCAGGGGCGGCGCCGGAGGCGCTGTCAGGGAGCCCCAGCGCCGATCCGGGGAATCCGCGCGGACCTCCGAGTTCTTGTGCTTGTGTTATGGTTCGTTCCGCTAAAGATGAGGCGTTCCAAAAAGGCCCTCGCCTTCGAGGATCGAAGGCGTTGTCATCTCTTCCGCCGCGGAAGGCGGCTGAGGGTCGTTTCCAAGAGGTGAAAACGTGTTTGGGATCATGGTTTCCGAAATCCGCCAAATAGCGCCCAGTGGCGCCCAACAGCAGTCGAGCAGCGCACGATAGCGACCACCAGCGCCGAATAGTTCCTTGCGAAAGGATCTTGCATCACGTCCGCTTGGCGCGCGATTGCACGTACTACTCTGCGCCGTGTGGGCAGGAGACAGCCTCTGTGAGTTGCTGTATAAGTTACGCAGGTTTGCGCCGCGCTGTCGCGGCGGCGACCCCAGCGCGAGCATTCAAGGCCCATGATCGCCCGATGTCGAGCCGAGGGCCCAGTGGTCCATGATCGGCCGCCAGGGGCCCATCGTTCAAGGTTGAACGAGCTATTCGGCGTCCGACATCAATGCCCGCGACATCACGATCTTGACGCGCCCGTCCTGGGTGCGCCGGTCCAGTTCTCGTGGGAGGTTTGCAGCGGGAGCTCGTGTCAGATTGCAGACAGGGTCTCGTCATCTTCCTGACGGCCCCGTCAGGCCGAGCACGAGTCGTCCCCCGAACACGAGTCGTCCCGAATCCCGAACACGAGTCGTCCCCCGAACCGAGCACGAGCCTGAGGCCAACCCGAATCCCCCGAACACGAGTCGTCCCTTCAAGCAGTGGCAAAGCGTCCTGGTTCGCCTATAGGCCCATAAAATAATGTTCTAAGAACCTTTGATGGTCTGCACGAAATGTTTTTAGAACATTTCTGGCTGAGACTGTCGTGTTTTAACACATCGGGCCTATGGTCTACGAACACCGGTTTTCGTTATATCAGAACATGTTGGGGCTCTAAGAACAGTTCGTGGTAGGCCTATAGGAATGACGGGACGGTCGGTCCCTGCTCTCACCGAGCGCGTTTCATCTTTCGCAAAGTGCCTACTCGCAAACGTCCGAAACACACATGTCCGCTCATATGTAATTCCTCGTAGATCCCCCGTGGGGGAGGCAGGCCGCTTGCGAGTAGGTACTCTGCGAGTAGTGGAACGCGCTTGTCCATGCTCAATGCGCGTGCCCAGCGCTCGCCGTCGCGGCGGTGCCCGCGTCGCGCACCGATGCGCGGCGCCCACGCAGCCCTCCTCCTCCTCCTCCTCCTCCTCCTCCTCCTCCTCCTCCTCTTCCTCCTCCTCCTCCTCATCACATCATCATCATCATCAGCATCATCATCATATCATCATCATCATCATCCATCTCCCCTCCATCCTCCCTCCTCCTCTCCTCCTCCGCCTCCTCCTCCTCCTCCTCCTCCTCCTCCCCTCCTCCTCCTCCTCCTCCTTCCCCTCCTCCCTCTCCTCCCCTCCTCCCCCTCCCCGGCCGAGATGCGGATTGCGCAGGCGCCGTTCTCGTGCCCCCTCCCCGCCGCCGCGGCCCGCCGCCCCCCCCCAAGTCGGCGTTCCGCGGGCGCCCCCCGCGGCGGAGCGCGCGCCCCCGCGGCGGAGGCGCGCCCCCTCGGCGCGGCGCGGCGCGCGCGCGCCGCGGGGCGGCGATGAAGCGGCCGGCGGAGGCGCCGCTGCTCGCCGAGGACGCCTTGCGTAGGCGAGAGTTGTCCACAGCTGCCGCGCCAGACGAAAGGGGGGGATTGGGAAAGGGGGGGTTACGAAATCTGCTGCATGAAGCTGGTTTCGGCCCCACCGAGGGGCCCATTCCTCGATGCATGGCCGCCTCCGGCGCCGGGAGGCGCCGGGAAAATCAGCTACGTGAGCTGATTCTCACCCCCCCCCCTTTGCTATCCCCCCTTTCGCCCGGCCCGAATCTACCGCGTGGGTATTCCTCCGCGGTCGAGGGACTGTAAGACATAGGGAAGCTTGTGCTCGTCACGGAGAGGGCGCTGCCCCAGGGCGGCTGGGCAGTTTGTGCCTTCGCGTGCCACCGTGAGGGTGTCAGCTGTCCAGCCGCCCTGGGACGGGCGCCCCCGACAGCGAAGAAGTTGATGTTATACCGCTCTTTGCCCGTGCGATTCTGGGAAGATGTGCCAGGAGGCAGAGAGGCGCAGCGATGATCTCTAAAGAGTCGCTTCTGGGGGCCAGGCGTTTATCCACATCCACGGCGGCTAGGGTGTCTGGGGAAGGGTGCCCGAGCCTTCGAGGCACAGCGGATATGGACATGCTTGCATCTTGCAAGCAGCGGGGGGGGGAGGAGGACCCAGATGTCCAACGTGCTTGACAAGACAAGGCTGAGGTTTCTCGCAGGCCTCCGCCTCTGGAGGCCCTCGGCTGGCCCTGGGACCCCGCTTAAAAACACGTCCGATCTTTGGGGAGGCTGGAGGATCGAGGCTATCGAGGCTCGAGGCTTGAGCCTATCAAGGCTCGAGGCTCAAGGGTGCGAGGCCCTAGGCTCGAAGACCCGAGGCTATCCAGGCTCGAGGCTCGAGCCCGTCAAGGCTCGAGGGTGCGAGGCTCGAAGGCTCGAGGGCTCGAGGGCTCGACGCTCGAGGCCCGAGCCTGCCAGGGCATCGCGGGGCAGCGGGGGTGCTCCGCCCCCCTCGCGGCCACGGGCGGCGTGCCCTCGGCGCTCTGCGTAGGGGCGCGCCCCGCGGAGAGGTCCGGCGGTCGAGGTGCGACCCTCGGGCCCGGCCTCCCTCGCACCGTTCGGAGGAGGAGAAAAGCACCATTGACACACACACACACACACGCACACGCACACGCACACGCACACACAGACACACAGACACACAGACACACAGACACACAGACACACAGACACACAGACACACAGACACACAGACACACAGACACACAGACGCTCACACACACACACACACATACACACACACACACACACGCACACACGCACGCGCACACACGCACACACGCACACACGCACACACGCACACGCACACGCACACGTACACGTACACGTACACACACATTTTGCCGGTGTTCGGGGGAAAGAGCACGATGTCGGCGGTTTGGGCAGGTGGAGGAGACGGGGGCGGCAAAGAGGGGGGTGATGACTCGGGGCGGGTGGATATCATGGCGTGGGCCATCATATTTCCCCAGATTTCGTGGCGCCTCATCTCGTTTCAGTACGTCCCTGGCGCCCCCCCCCCTGGGCCGCGCACATGCCGCCGGGCATGATTTGCACCCCCCCACCCCTCTTGGACGCCCCCCTCTTGGCCGCTCCCGAAGGAGGAGGGAAGGGGAGGAGAAGGAAACATGGTGGAGGACGGCGGAGGAAGGGGAGGGGGACGCAGGAGGACGACAAGGAGAGGAGGAGGATGAGGAGGAGGAGGAGGAGGAGGAGAGGAAGAGGAGCAGGAGAGGAATAGGAGGGTGGCAAGGATGATGCTGGGAAGGGAGGTGGGTGCAGCGAGATGAGGAGGGATGACGAACGTCAGGCAGAACAAGGAAGCGGAGGGATGATGAGGACGAGGAGTGAGGAGGAGCACGTAGAAGGGATGATATGATATGTGAGGATGGAGGACGGTGGAGAGGGGGCAAGAAGGGGGATGAGGACGGACATGAGGGAGAACGGGGATGATGAGGGGAGGAGGGGAGAACGAGGAAAAACACAACAACCAAAAGGGAGGACGGAGAAGTGGGCTGGGTGAGGAGGGAGTGGAGAAAAAGCCGAGGGGAGTGGGCGGGATGATAGGTAGGAAGGAGACGCGAGAGGCAAGAGGAGAATGGGGCAACGGGGGAGGCGCAGCCGTAGTAGCAGGGCAGGGAGGGGGAGAAGGAGGAGAGGCTCGAGGCGGCCTGACAACTGTGCCGCTCTGAGAGGCTGGGAGGAGGACGTGGAGGAGGAGGAGGACGAGGGAGGACGGCGACGACCGTGACGCTGCTGATGAGGATGACTACGAGCAGGGGTCAGCATGGAGGGCTCTCGGGTGGACCCTGGCAGGGTCCATATCGATAGATATCGATCCGACTCCATCCGGATTTCGGGCCCTCCGATCCGATCCGGTTCCGCTGCTCCGACGATCCGACGCGGCCCGATGCTCGCGCGGCGTATTTGGTGCCTCCCGGCGCGGCCGATCCGATCCGAGTCTCGATCCGGTGCTGCCTGGCCCTGTGACCTGGGCACGATGGGCCTGTTTTCCACCACCGCCACCATGAGCTGGATGGGGGAAAGAGGAGGAGGAGGAGGAGGAGGAGGAGGAGGAGGAGGAGGAGGAGGAGAAGGATGAGGAGCAAGGGGAGGAGGAGGAGGAGGAGTAGGAGGAGAGGAGGAGGAGGCGAGGCATGAGGAGGGGGAGGAGGGGAGGAGGAGGAGGAGGAGGAAGAGGAGGAGGAGGAGGAGGAGCAAGAGGACTAGGAGGAGGAGGAGGAGGAGGAGGAGGAGGAGGAGGAGGAGGAGGAGGAGGAGGAGGACCCCCTCCCCCCCTTACTTGTGGTGGTGGCGGTGGAAAACAAGCCCACCACATGGGCAGAAGTCCGCGGCGCAGGATCGCTGTGGGGCGGGGCCGCCGGCGCCGGCTCCAAGCGCTGGGGGAGGCGCCGCCCCGCCGCCCCATCGCCCGCGCGCGCGAGGGCGCGGGTCGGCTGGTGGGCGGGGGAGGAGGCGGGGCGGGGCGGTGAGGTCCTGAAGAGATTGCCTTCGAACCCAGACTTGGCATCTGACGTCCTGGGCGCCTCTCCCCTCTCTCTCCCTCCCTCCCTTCTTTCTCCTCTTCCTCCTCCCTCCTCCTCCCTCCCTCCTCCTCCCTCCCCTCCCCCTCCCTCCCTCCCTCGTCCTCCTTTTCCTCCTCCTTCTCCTCCTCCTCCTCCTCCTCCTCCTCCTCCTCCTCCTCCTCCTCCTCCTCCCCCCCGTCCTGGAAGGTAAGGGCGCCTGCCCGCCGCCCGCTAGGAGGAGGGGGGAGGAGGCAAGGCGAGGCGGTGAGGTCATGAAGAGGTTGCCTCTGAACACTGTCTGAAAGCGGGCGTGTCCCCTCTGCAGGAGGACTGTTCAAGAATAGACAAATAAGAGTCTGGAAACGAGAATGATTGACCCTCTGTGCGACTATGTTTGAACCTGTCTTGACGACGTTTAACCTTTTCGTCCAGAATCCCCCCCTGTAGGAGGACAGGCGCGACCTGAACCTAGTCTTGGCGTCTGACGCGTTTGGCGCCGCACACAGACGACGACGAAGACGAAGACGACGACGACGTCGCCAACGAAGACGACGACGAGAGAGGAGGGAGGACGACGACGGCGACAACGACGACAACGACGACAACGACGAGGGAGGAGGGAGGACGGCGACGACAGAAGAAGGAGGAAGGACGCCGACGCCGACGACGACAACGACGAAGGAGGAGGGATGACGACGACGACGACGACAACGACGACGACAGCAAGGGGAGGAGTGGGCGTGGGTGGGGGGGGCGTTCGGAGCGAGAGCCCCCCCGTGATCTGGGAGGGAGCTTCTCCTCCTCGGCCTCCTCCTCCTCCTCCTCCTCCTCCTCCTCCTCCTCCTCCTCCCTCCTCCTCCTCCTCCTCCTCCTCCTCCTCCTCCTCCTCCTCCTCCTCCTCCTCCTTCCCTCGGCTTCCGAGGGTGCCCGCAACGAGGATCAAACAGGTATCCTCTGGCCCGTGGCGGTCGTATTCTGGGCACGTGTGCAGTCCAAACTCCAGATAGCGGCGACGTCGACAGCGCGTAAAACGCTGATGGGGGGCGCTGGCAAGAGCGCTGGAAAGCATGCCTGGGGAGCCTGCAAGCTCGGAGGAAGCTTGCGGGAGACGCTTGCCAGGGCGCTGGGAAGCATGCCTGGGGAGCTGGCGAGTTTCTAAGAGCGAGCTTCGAAGGAGCGTCCAAAGAGCTTTGAGGGACCTGCGGGAAAGGCTTCAGGCACGCGCATTGGAAACGAGTCGGAAAACGCTTCTCCGGACCCGCTGCGAGTTCAAGCGACTCGCTTCGGGGATGCCTGCCCGGAAGCCTTGGGGGGAAGCTGACCTATCTTGCGCTGCTGGCTTCCAATATGAAGCCCTCTCAGTTCTCACAGAGCTATCCGGAAGACTTCCCCCCCCCCGCCCCTGTAAGGGTTAGGATCGTACAGTGCCGTTTTTATACATGCTCCGCGTGTGGATCATGTATTGAACATGCAGGGATTTAGTTCTAAAAACAACGATGAGTTCATGCGCAAGTTTACGCGTCAATTCGTCATGTATTAAAAATCCCATGTTTTTTATTTAAAACAATCCTATGTATTTAAAAACTGCCCTGTACGGGGGGGGCCCTCCCGCATGCTTGTGCTCGTGTGCGTGTGCGTACTATGGCGATCGCAGGGCATCCCTTTCCCGACGTGCCCTACGCCGCCCGAGCTCGCCATTCCCGGGGGCCCAGACCCATTCCCCGGCAACGGATGCGATTTGACGCCCACTCGAGTGTGCGAGGACGCTTTTTTTCGGATGCAACTCCTGGGAGGTCAAATTCTGATGTTGCCCTTGTCCGAAATCCGGCTGAATCTGGCTGCATCCCGCCGAATCCGGCTTAGTCCCGCGCAATCTGGCTGAATCCTAGGCCCCCTCCGGCGCAGCAGCCCCCCAATTGGGCTTAATCCTCCTCTAATCCTTCCGACGAAGACAGGCAAGCCACAACTGGGGGAGCTGTGGTCCTTGCCCCCCTGGGGGACCCATCGATTTCGACACCTCTCTCGAGAGATCGTCGACGCGATGGGTTCCCCCAGGGGGGTAAGAACTACAGCTCCCCCAGTCATGGCTGGTCGGGGAGACCTCCCAGTAGTCGCCTCCTCACTCCTTCGAGGAGGCGCGCCTTCCTCCGAGCCTTCTCTCCCGGCACGCCCGCTCGAGTGCGCGGGCGTCGGGGCCCCTGGGCGGCTGCTCGCGCCTCCGCGTGCCCGGCAGCTCTCGCGCCAGGGAGGGGGCGGAAGTCTGGGAGGAATCCGAGGCGGGAGTTGATCCACATCCACCGCCTGGAGGGTCAGTGTTCTGAGCCTCGGCAGGCGGTGGACATGGACATATTCGTGCCCCCGGGGGGCCGAAATACATCCGTATCCACCGCCCGCTGTGGCGCCAGGACGTCGGTTCCCAGGCGGTGGATGTGGATAAATCCACGCCTCGCAAGAAAGCCAGGCTATCGCACCCCCCGCCGCCCTGCACCGACAAAGCGGGTGCGAGACCCCATAGTGACATATGCACGATCGACGTTCCTGCCTCTCGATCTGGGACCTCTCCAGGGCTGCGACGGGCAGGAGGACGAGGACGCAGGCAGCGTCACCAGGATCGCCAGCGTGGGCAGGAGCAGCAGCGGGACAGCACCCTGAAACAGAGGGATACACATGTACATGCGCACATCACACTCTCTCTCTCTGGCTCTTCATCTCTCTCTCTCTCTCTCTCTCTTTCTCTCCCTCCTTCTCTCTCTCTCTCTCGTGTTGTTTTTTTTTGTTGTTCTCTCTCTCTCTCTCTCTCTCTCTCCATTTATTTTTGTTTTTGTTATATATATATATATATATATATAACACCCAGCTGCCTACGGCAAGTCCCGCCACCGCGCCTGGGTTGTAGGAATGAAGCCTACTGGATGCTCGTTGGAATCTCGTGGGAGGCCTCTCAGGGGCCTCTTGGAGGCAGTTTTGGGGCCTGTTGGGGGCCGTGTTGGGGCCTCTTCTTGGAGCCTCTTTTGGGCCTGTTGGGCGCCTCCAGGGGCGTTTTCGGGGCCTCTTGGGGCCCTCTGGGTGCCTCTTGGGGTGTCCCTCTTTTGGGCACCTTGTGGGGCCGTCTTGGGGCCCTCTTGGGCCTTCTTGGGCGCCTCGTGGGCCGTCTTGGGGCGCTCTTAGGCCGTCTGGGATCCTTCTCGGAGGCCTCTTGGGCTGTTTCGGGTGGTCTCAAGAACCTCTTGAGCCGTCTTGGAGCGTTTGAAAGACGAAAGGCGAGAATGCCAACATCTTCCAAAAACTTAACTTCAATGATGTTTGCCTCTTGGGGACCTCTTGGGGACCTCTTGGAAGGCAATTGGAGGGCCTCTTGGAGGCCGCCTGTGCCGTCTTGAGACCATCGTGAGGCCATCTTGGGCGTCTTCGAGCGATCGTTCGGCGACTTGGGGCCCTCTTGGACCGTCTTGGGAGCCCTCTGGGCCGCCATGGAAGCCTTGGAGCGCCCCAGGGAGGCGCCATGGCCGCCCAGGGACCCTCTGGTAATAGGGGCGACTCGGTCAGGTGGGGCGACCAGGAGGAAAGGGGGCCCCTTAGAGGGATACCTAAACCCTGCCAGGCTCCCCTTGGCATCCTTCCACGCCTCAACGTGGCGCAGGCATAGTGGCGGATATATTTCGAAATCTGTCATTCAGCGCACTACTTCGGACAGTGAGTCATTGCACTGGGGGGGGTACAAGTCATGCGGTTTAAGCTATGTGGTGTAAGCTATGTCGTGTAAGCTCTGTGTTTTAAGTTACGGAGGTGAAATGTATGTGGCGCCATTCATTCTGAAGAACTTGAAACCGTCAACTCATTGGTCCGTCGAACCATCCCACCCTCCTACCCGAAATTTGCCGGCAAGCTCATCTGGCCATAATATCAACAAGTTCACGGGCGCGTGGAACTTGACCTTGCAGACATGTCTTTTCTGTGGACCGTTAAGTGGTGGTGGCGATGGTGACGGTACGTCGATAACGACGACGGACAACACAGTGTCGGTGTCGTTGGTGCCGATGACAGTGGAGACGAGGTTGGTACGATGGCGACGACGACAGTAGTGATGGTGATGAAGCTCATGATGATTGCCAGGACGGTAATACCGATGAGCATGGCGATCATGATGACGATGGTGTTGGCGATGATAATGACGAAGTGCCCGCGGCTGCGCGCGCATGTGCTACGAGAAGCATGTTTCCTGAAACATGGTTTTAGCGAGCAACCAATGTTTAGATCAACGCATGTGCACCGTATGTAGTGTGTTGCAGGACAAGATATGGGGGGGGGGTCGATACCAGCCTTGTTGGGATGGTACGAACTCATCTGCAACATGATCGATGAGGCAGTTTCACATGCCACCCAAGGGGAGCCGTTCAGCCCGGATTCGGGAGTGACCACGCTCACTCTTTTCTCGAGGGAGGCCGCGTCGTGCAGCAGATGCAGTGACGTCTTGGTGATGTGACATATACATTGTCGCGGGCGGACAGAACCCCCCACCCTGACACGTCGATTAGTCACATGTCCGTTTTCGGTGCTCGAGAGGGCGCCGCGGCCGCCACTTGCCAGGCCTGCGCCCGCCAGGTCTGGGCCCGAGGCCGCTTTCCCTGAACCACGCTCTGCTGAAGGGGCTCCTGTCCCTCCCCGAGCATGTCTGGTGCCAGGCCGTGCAGTGCCAGCCTGCGTGGCGCGAGCTCGGCGCCCAAGGGGCGCCCAAAGGAGCGCCCCGCAGCGCGGCCGCGGGGCGGCCGCGCGGCGCGGCGCTCCGCGAGGCCCCGCGGAGCGCGCAGCGGGCGTGCCCCCCGAGGCGGGGGGCGGCAGCGCCGCGCGGCCTCGGCGGGCGCAGCCCCGGCGCACGGGGCGCCCGCGCGCGCGCCCGCGAGGGCGGGGCGGGGCGACCGCGCGCGGCGCAGTGTCGGCGGAGCCGCCCGGCGACTGGCAAAGAGGGGGGTGATGACTATCACCACCCACCAAACCACCCCAACCCAACCCGAAGGCTCAGATTTACCCTCGATTTCCAGTGGGGGGGGGTTCGGGAAACATCGAAAAAACACACGTGGAACCCTTACCCCCCCCAACCCGGAATTCGGGTCTTCGGGTTGGGTTGGGGTGGTCTGGTAGGTAGTCAGACTAGGGTCAGCACGAACGAAATGGGTACCGAAAGAATGGGTTAAATTGCCCAAATGCAGTTCCTGTTCCTCTTGAGCAGGACGGGTTGTCCACGCCGCCGCGGCCCGTGTCCATTCGAGACAGAAGGCCGCCTGCCCAACAGCGGCCCCTGTTGGTTTGGGACAACAGTTGTTGTTGGGCATTGTATTCATATTTTCCGTACCCATTTCGGGCGTCCAAAGCAAGGAGGGGGGTGATGGCATAGGGGGGGGATCTCATGGCGGGGCCGTGATATTTCCCCAGATGTCGTGCCGCCTCTGCTTGTTTCATTGCGTCCCTGGCCTCCCCCCGCTGGGCCGCGCACGTGCCGCCGGTCATGATTTGCACCCCCCCCCTCTTGGACACCCCCCTCTTGGCCGCTCCCGGGCAGGGGGCCACATGCGGGCCCTACCCCTACCCCCCACGATCTCTGAGGGGGAGGGTGGGTTCCCTTCGCTTGGGAGCTCCCGAGCGAAGTGAACCCCACCCTGCCCCTCAGAAATCGTGGGGGGTAGGGGCCCCTTTGTGGGCCCCGGAAACGGCAGGGCCGTTTTTTCACCGTTTCCAAAAACATGTCCCTTGAAAATGGAAGCGGCAAGAAAACGGCGACCGAAAACGGCAAACAAACGGCTCCATGATTGGAACCGGAGCCGGAACCGGTCATCAAACGGCGACGGAACCGGCAAAAAAACGGCGTCGGAACCGGCAGAACAACGGCAAAACGGAACCGGTAACAAAAACGGCCCTGTCGTTTCCAGGGCGTAGGGGTACACCTTAGGCGATGCTTAAGAAAACTTAAGTTTTCGGCCAGAGTCTCGATTATTCTTAACGTTTCAATGTAAATCTTAAGATTTTGATAGACATGTTTGGTTTTTATTTAAGTTCTCAGACTATGAATTTCTTAACCCATGATTTCTTAAGCATATCGCAGGGTGTAGGGTCCGCGTGTGCTCCCCCATTGGGAGCGCCCTCGAGGCGGCACGGGCGGCAGGGTGGCGCAGCCTCGGTCGACGCGCCCCCGCGCACGGGGCGCACGCGAGCGCCCACGGGGCGGGGCGGGGCGGCACCGCGGGAGGCCCTGGGCCGATCCGGCGACCTCTTGGCGGTGACAGAGTTGTCCAGGGAATATGCACCGAGAGAGGGGCAGGGAATGAACGAGAGTGAGAGAGAGAAAGAGAGAATATATATATATATATATATATAAAAATATACACACATATAGACACACACATACACATCTACATATTTATATGCAGATATATATATATATATGTATCAAAGAGGAGAGAGAGAGAGAGAGAGAGAGAGAGAGCGATATCTATATATATATAGAGAGAGTGAGAGAGAGACAGAAACAACAAATAACGAGAAAGAGATAGAGGGAGAAAAACAATACAAATAGATAGAGGCAGAGACAAGGACACAGTGAGACAGAGAGAGAGAGTGAGGAAGGGAGGAAGGGAGGCAGGGAGGCAGGGAGGCAGGGAGGCAAGGAGACGGCGACAGAGCAGTGGTGTGTGCGCATGCGCGCGTGTGTGTGTGTGTGTGTGTGTGTGTGTGTGTGTGTGTGTGTGTGTGTGTGTGTGTGCGTGCGTGCGTGCGTGCGTGCGTGCGTGCGTGCGTGCGTGCGTGCGTGCGTGCGTGTGTGTGTGTGTGTGTGGGTCTGTGTGTACGTGTCGGTCAGCCTGCCATTTGGCTCAAGCCGCCCCGAGACAGAGAGAGAGAGAGAGAGAGAGCGAGAGCGAGAGAGAGAGAGAGAGAGAGACCGCGAGGGAGAGACCCTGCTGGAGCCATGGAGAGGCCTCCGCCCCCCAGGGGGGTGGGCACGGCACGGCGGCCTCGCCCCGGGACGGGCGCCGCGCCGGCGCCGGCGGTGCCGCCCGGCATGCCCGCGCGCGGCAGGCCGGACGGTCGGCGCGGCGTTCTGTTCGGCGGCCTTCTCCCTGACCTTCCAGGAGGGCTAAAAAATAGCACGCGACTTAAAAGCTTATCCCAGAGCTATTCTACGTCCTGGTTTTAGGCTGTCTCGTTTCGTTTTTTAGGTTTTTAGGCCTCCCGTGCTAAAAAATAGCTCTCTGGAAGGTCAGGGATTGGGCGGCCGCGCTCGCCGGGGCGGCGGTGGTGGCCGCTCGACTCGCTGCGGGGATTGCCAGCCCCTGGGCTTTCGGCGAAGGGTGAAGCAGCGAAGCAGTGTCCGACGAAGAACGAGGCAAGTCATCCGAGGAGGAAAAGGTACTCGTGCCTCTACCCTTCGCCCGTGTTCCCCCGCCTTTTCGGGCATCCCGGGAGGCCCTCGTCGCCACCGCTGGATTCGCTTCGAGGTCCTGGTCAGAACGTCCCCTGGGAGAGGTCCGGGGAGTGGCGATATCGAAAAAAGAAGGGGAACCTTGGGATACACGCCCCCCCGGGGGCTATTCGGACGCACCCCTATCGAGGATGGACGCCACCCCTCGTGCATCCAACGAAGGATTGCAAAAAAACCCTTCGAAGGATTGAAAAAAAACCTTTTTTCAAATCCTTCGAAGGATTGCAAAAAAACCCTTCGAAGGGTTTTTTTGCAATCCTTCGAAGGGTTTTTTTGCAATCCTTCGAAGGGTTTTTTTGCAATCCTTTTTGCAATCCTTCGTTCAAGGGTTGGGCCCAAAATTTTTGGTCCATTTGAAAGCCCGACGAAGCCTGGGATGGGGGTCGACATATCCCCTGTTAGAATCGGCGGGTCCCCATGCCCACTGGGCCATGGGAGTGCGGCTGGAGGGAGAACAAGCATTCCAGCACGGTGCTCTTCTTGTTCCGTTGGTTCACATATTACATCTACTGCAACATCATCGCGAGCTTGTGTTTCCTCATCGCCGCTCCCGACGTCCCTTATTTCGCAAACGTCTTCAGGTTGCCTTCTGTCTGGAGTCCTTGCATCACTCCGTGGACGACGGGTGCGAGGCAATGGTCGCGTTGCGATCCGCATCGGCGTGGTGGGGCCATGCGGGGCGCTGCTGCGAAGGAGTGCAGTTTCAGACTGAACTCCTTATTCTTATTATTATGCTTATTTTTATTCTTATTATAATTTTTTATTATTATCGGGGCGCTGCTGCGAGATCGGTTTCGAGATCGCCTTCGAGATCGTCGCTTCGCCGCAGCGCGCTCCTGGCGCGCCAGAACGGGGCGCGGCCGCCGCGCGATGGGCGGCCGTGCTGGTCGAGGCGCACCGGATGCCCAGACCTCTGGCATCGTTCTCTGCCGTTTTTCTCCTCCTCCTCCTCCTCCTCCTCTTCCTCCTCCTCCTCCTCCTCATCATCATCATCTTCATCCTCCTCCTGATCCTCCTCCTCCTCCTGATCCTCCTCCTTCTCTGCCGTTTTTCTGTGCCGGCGTTTCCCTCGATCGCGGGGTTCTTGCAGCCCGGTTTCGGTCCTCGACTGCCGTCGGCAAGGAACACCCAGGGCGAGGATCGGGCCCCCGAGAAGGGTTCTTCCTCCTCCCCCCTCTCCTCCCGACGACCCTGCTGCTATACTCCTCCTTTAACTTCTTCTCCCCCTCCTTCACCCGATCCCTCTCCTCCTCCGCCTCTCGATTATCCTGACCCTCCTTTGTGCTCCTCACCGGCCTGATGATCCTCCTCCTCCTGGACTTTTCCGGGCCCCGTATCGAAGAACGGCAAGATAATTGAAGTTTGGGTGCACCATTTGTGCGCCATCGTTCAAGTCAAGTTTCACCATTCTGGCTGCCTTTGCGTCCTTCCCTGCGGCAGCGCTGGCAACAACGCCTTCGACCACTCGAATGCAACCGACCTTCCTCTCCAGCCTTGCTGGACCTCGCTCGTTGCGGCGGCTGGCGGCGGATGTGGTCGAGAGCATCAACGCCTGCAGCGCGGACCCGCCGCAGTTGCACCGAGAGTTACTTGTTCTTCGCCTACATGGACGATGCCCAGGTGAAGCGGATCCGGGTCGAGTACACACATGCGACATTGTGCCATACAGCAAGGCCAGACTTGCAACAAAAAGGTAGCGCGTTTGCAGCTGTTTGGTCAAGGATTTTCGAGGTCGGAGTTGGCGGGCAGGTCGATGGGATTTGGGTCCGAGGAAGGAGACACGACACCTACAGCTTCGGTTGCAACTCCTGGGATGTTTTATCCAGCATCTGCGAAGGTATATCCGCGGTCGACAACCGTCCAGGTCCAGCCTGATCCCATTCAGTCCCAGTGCCGCTAAGTTCAGCTTCATCTTGGGAGTTCAACGGCCCCTGAATCTTGGCGGCGCTCATCAGGGAGTGGCGCAAGGGGGGCGGGCTTCTGAGACGGCGACGGGGGTCATGTCAAAGCGGATGGGCGCGTCACAAGCCCGGCGGGCTTCTGAGAAGCCTTCTCAGAAGCCTGCCGGGGCCTTCCAGAAGTCCCGGACCTTCGGAGAAGCCCCTGCACTGCCTGCGTGGGCGCCGCCAAGGACCGCCATCGCTATTGTTGTGCCGTTTCCACGAAGACCTCCTAGGATCGTGGGCGAAGATCAGATTCGTGTCCGCGGCCTCGCGAGGCAGGCCCCTGGGCCGCGACCCCGCGGATGCGCTTTTCTTGCCGCGGGGATGCTCCGCGCGGAAGGTATCCGTGCGACCGCGTGTGACCACGCTTGGAAGCCAGGGCTCGGTACGCGCGTCGCCCCTTGGGGGGGCGACGCACATATAGTGTAAGTATGCTGGGGTGGCGCCGAAAGAAGGGAGACGCTGCACCAAAACCACCAACAGGGCCACCCCCTGCGAGGAGGTACGCGACCCCCCCGAGCTGGAGATTCGGAGGCGTCCTGGGCGGGACGCCGAAGAGCAGCGCCACCACGCTGGCACGAAGAAGTCCCTCTGTCCTTCGGCGTTTCGAACGGGCACTCCGGACCCTGCCACAGTGCCACGCCGACGTGTCCCGGGCTTCCAACGACTTTGTCAGCAGTCGCTACATCGGGTTGTTTTGCTGTTCCTGATGCTGTGGTTTGCGTCCAGGGTGAAACACTGGGCCCCAGACAGAGGAGTAGGAGGAGGAGGCGTAGACCGAGGAGGACGAGGACGAGGAGAAGAAGGATCGGGAGAAGGACGAGGAGGACAAGGGGGAGGAAGGAGAACAAGTCGGCAACATTCCAAATGCCCAGGATGAGCATCCCTCCGAAGCGCGGCCGATCAAGTGGGCAAGCCTGCCTTAGGGCACGACGAGAAAAAGGGTGCTCGAGCGGGAGACGAGGAGAAGCGTACCCAGTGCAGATGCGGTTGGCACCGCCACACATGCAAGACTGTTCGGAGGAGGGCCCCAGTCGAGGCAACAGCGCGCCCCCTTCGTGCCTCTCGTCCTCTCGAGGCCTCCTTGGGCGCTTCTCGTCGCCGCGGCAGGACTGTCTGCGAACAACGGGTCAGCATGGACCCCGGGAGTGACCCCGGGGGCCAAATTTGGAGCATGGTTTTTGGTTGGGCGGGAGAGCCGCCGTGGTCTGAAAGTGCCCTCCCCCGAGTTGTGAGCCGATGCATCCTTGCGGCAGGGCGCCCTCAGGGGTCTGCCTTCTGCCCCGTTTTGGCAACGTCGCTGAAGGCAGAGCATGCTCCAGATTTCGTAGTAAAAGGGAGGGGGTCTCCTCCAAGACAAGCCATTTCAGACCTCCCCCGTGGGGGAACACTCCAAAACATCGTCCCCAGACCCCACAGGCCCTCCAAGATAGCCTGGAAGAGACACCCCCCGAAATGAGACCCACCTCCCTTTATTACGAAATCTGGAGTACCTGTACCTGGAAGAAAAAGAGGCATGAGTATGCTCATGCAGTCCTTGGTCCTCTTATTAGCTCACCATGTAGGGAACAACTCAGGAGGGGAAAAAAACACAGACACCATGAAGCGTCGGCTCCCAGGGAAAGACGGGAACACACGGGAAATGAGGGGGAAGACGAAAACCCCCAAAACATGAGAAAATGTGGGAATGCTGTTCTTTGTGTGTTTGTATTTGTGCCCCTGGGCCCCTTCAACAACGCCCGAGTCTTGCTTGATGCACGGAGGGCGTGGGGGGAGTCGCCGAGCAGAGGGCGCCGCGCGCCGTTGCTGCGGTTGGCAGGCGCGCCGGGCTTTGGCCCGTCGTCGCTGGGGGTCTGCAGTCCCTGGCTCGGGCCGCCGTGGGGCAGGTCGGGGCGCGCGAGGGGGGAAGCGAGAAGGAGAAGCTCTGGAGGAGAATCGGGCCAGACGAAAGGGGGGGATTGGGAAAGGGGGGGGTACGAAAATTGCCCCCCTGCGAGGGGAGGGCGACGAGGACAACGCGGAGAGGCAAGAAGAGGAATTGGGAGGGACGCGTACAAGGGGACCAAATCGGGCCCGGCGGAAGGGGGGGATAGGGAAAGGGCGGGGTACGAAATCTGCCGCATGCAGCTGGGTTCGGCCCCAGCGAGAAGCCCAGTCCTCGATACGTGGGCGCCTCGCGGCGCCGGGAGGCGCCAGGAAAAGCAGCTACGTGAGCTGATTCTCAAACCCCCCCTCTGCTATCCCCCCCTTTCGCCCGGCCCGAACAAACAATGACATACATAGAACAGCTCGGAGGTCCGCGCGGATTTCTCGGATCGGCGCTGGGGCCCCCTGGCGCCGCCCCCTGGCGAGGAGGCGCTCCGGGGAAGAACACTCGGGAGGAGCAGCGGCCGCACCCACAGTGCGGAGGCTCCCGGAGTGCCGCGCGGAGGTCTCGCGAAGCCCGGGCGCCGGGGCACCCCCTGCGCCCGGCAGGCATGGGCGCGTCGGCGTCGGCACCGCGGGCGCCACGGGGCCTCTCCAGGGCCTTGCCCCCTCGGGTCGGCGGGGAGCGAGGGGGGGGGGGGGGGGGGGAAGTGAGTGGGAGACGGCCTCCTCGGCAGGCGGCGGGGGCTTCGCAGAAGCCCTCGCGCCTCCTGAGAAGTCGTTGTGTGGCATTCGGGGGAGGCTCCGAACACTTCTCAGGAGGCCGCGGGGGGTGGGGGCTTCCGAGCCTTCTGAGAGGGCCTCCTCCTTCTCATTGCCCCCCCATCGTTCGCCGCCGGGTGGAGCAGAGGATCGGGGCCACCGTGTGCAGACGCCCCCCGTCCTCCCTCTCCAGGTGTCCGACGAGATCTGCTCCTTCAGTCCGGGCGCCGTGCCTTGATTTATTTTTCGGCTTCCAGGGCCCGCCGTCGGGCCTGAGGATGAAGTCGGGCATGCCCCTCCACGGGAGGGATACCCCTTAGAATTGTCAAGAAAGTGTCTGGGGACGATGTTCGACCATTTCCTGACTGTTCTGGAGTGTATGTTTTGTTCTTTGTTTGAAGTTTGTTCGTCCAAGATCTGCCTGCGGGAGGACATGCCCGACCTAACCCAAGGACCACACGCCCACTTGCTCCGCCACCTTCTCATGATCAGGGTGAGGGGGCCGAACATCAGCGAAGGAACAGGCACCCATACCTCGGCCCTTTGCCAATGTTTCCTTTTTTGGGGGCCTCTATGAGAGGCCCTCGTCGCCACCGCTGGGTTCGCCTCGAAATTCTGGTCAGATCGCACCCCCGGGAGAGGTCCGGGGGAGGGGAGCAGCAGCATCCATTTCTGGGGTCTCCCCAGTGAGGGGGGCGAACCGTCCTGCACTGTCCCTGTCTGTGTACGTGGCTGGCGTGGAGCTGCGTCGAGCGGATGCTGCCGTGGCAGCGTCGTCGTTGTCCCCGCCAGCGACGCAGCTCGTCGACCCACCCGCGACCCACCCCGGCGCCCGCCCCCAGCGCTATTGCCCGCGATTGCGGCGTGCTGCGCAGTTTCAGTCCGGTCCGCGTTTCTAGCTGCTGGCCCTCGGATCGGGAGCCCACAAAGGACGTACGCGCCCAGCTGTGTACATGAACACGGCCCCTCGATCCGCGAAACCAGCCGCGTTATACGAACATTTGCGCAATGCGTACTCTCGAAACCAGCGTGGATTCATGTACATGTACGTCCTTCTTTCGCTCCTGATCGGAGGCGCGTCGTCGGGACCCCGGAGAGGGGGTGCCGGGGGCCCCTCTCTCTTGAGCCGCGCAGCGCACGAGGCCCATCGGCGGTTGTCTGGGCTCTCGCCTCTGCGCAGCCCTTGCCTGCACAGGTCGAGTCGGAGATCGAGCGCCGAGTTGCTTTACCTCAGAACTGGCTTGTTCGCCGAATTGAGGATAAATAACCCGGAGAAGCAATTAAGGACCCCCCCGGCGTTATCATTAGCACCGCGCCGTAATTAAATAATTATTTGGGGGGGTTTTCGCCGAGCGATATTATTAGCACCGCGCAAATGGAAGGAAAATAAATAATTCCAGCGTCCCGCCTCGGGTGCGAGACCTGCGGGACTCCGTGGGACCCGTGCGATCTGGTGTACCCCCTCCTGGTGCCAGGATAACGCTTCCGGGTGCCGGGTGCGTTATCCTTTCACCGGAGAGGGGGGGGGGGTTCCTTAATCGCTTACTCGGGTTACGTGGAGTGATCCGGGTATCTGCCATCATTCGATGTATGCTTTGTGAGTTCCTTAAGAGAGAAATCAGCTTGGGGTAGATCAATTCCTCCTCCTCCCCCGTTCCTTCTCTATCGTCATTTCTGTCAGCAGCCATCCTGTATGACAACAAAGTCAGCGGCGAGTCCGGGGGGGAAGTGAGACGGGGCGGGCCTTCAGAGGGCTCGGAAGTCCCCCGGCCTTCTGAGAAGTTTTCTGCGTCTTCCCAAAGGACACAGAAGGCCTTCTGAGGAGCCCCGCCGCCTTCTGAGAAGCCCCGGAGGACACAGAAGGCCTTCTCCTTCTCACTCCCCCCCCTTCGCCCGCTGCCGAACGAAAAACACGGCGTCGGGGGTCTCCGGGCGGGGCCGTGGTGGCCCGGCACGGGTTCCGGCCAGCAGGAGAGAGGGGCGCCCTCGCCGCCAGGGCCGCACTCGGCTCGGAGAGCTGCCCGCGCGCCTGGTGGCTAGGGGCCGCGCGAGAGCGCGAAGCCGGGTAGCCCCACGCAGCGATGCTGATGTTGCCCGTCGCCTCCTCTCGGCGGCGTTCCCCAGTGCCCCTCCAGCGCAGAACTCGAAGGCCTCCTCCCGGCAGCGGGCCTCTCTCTGCGCATTTGCGCAGGGGGTGGGGAGGGGGGGGGGCGCGGCGATCGCGGCGTCGCCTTGCGGCACGACCTTGACGGGCGCCTCGTCGGTTGGTCCAGGCAATGCTCGTCAGCCCCTCCTGGGAACAGAACGTTCTCGTCGGATGGGCGCCCCCTGGGTGGCATTCCCTCCCCCCCCTTCGGACCGCACCTCCGAGTTTTGCACGCGCATGTCATTGTCGGCCCCCCTGCCAGCTCCCTTTCCTCGTCCGCTTCCCCGTCCTCCCCCCGCTCCACTTCTTCGTCCTCCTCCTCCTCCCTCTCCCCCTTCCGCTGCCGCGGCCGCTGCCGCGCGCGCTTCGCTGCCTCTCCCGGGGCCGCGGGGCCGCAGGCAACCCTTTCGCCGGGTTCTCCCTGTCGGCGTCCGACAAAGGCGGCGTGCCGGCCCCCCGCTCGTGGGCGCGTGCCCCCTGCGAGGGGAGGGCGACGAGGGCAACGCGGAGAGGCAAGAAGAGGAACTGGGAGGGACGCGTACACGGGGACCAACTCGGGCCAGGCGGAAGGGGGGGATAGGGAAAGGGGGGGGGTACGAAATCTGCCGCATGCAGCTGGTTTCGGCCCCATCGAGGGGCCCATTCCTCGATACGTGGCCGCCTCTGGCGCCGGGAGGCGCTGGGAAAACCAGCTACGTGAGCTGATTCTCAACCCCCCCCCCTTTGTTATCCCCCCCTTTCGCCCGGCCCGAACAAACAATGACCTACATAGAACAACTCGGAGGTCCGCGCGGATTTCTCGGATCGGCGCTGGAGCTCCCTGGCGCCGCCCCTGGCGCGCTCCGCGCGCCAGGGAGGGGGTTCCAGCGCCGATCCGAGAAATCCGCGCTGACCTCCGAGTTTTTATGTTTATGTCATTTTGCGTTCCCCTAATTGATAATGAGGAGGAGCACGAAGAGGAACCGGAATGGGCGCATAGAAGGAGGAGGAGGAGGAGGATGCGTGAGAGCAGTAAGGACATAGGAGGTGGATGGGTGAGGAGGAGCGGAAAGGCATGGGCAGATCGTGCCCCCCGTCGATCCTGGACTATTGTGTCATGTTTTGCTCGTGACGTCCTGTTTGTTGTTTTGTCCACTACGCCGATCCTTTTCCATGTTGCCCTCGAGCCAATACATCCGACTTCATGATTTGTTCGTGGCGCGGGCCTTCCTACGGACCTTGCGACCCCATCTGGGGAGGCAGGTTGTGTTCCATTGTAGGCCGTTTTTTTGGTGGCCCCGAGGTCAGAGATGGGCTTTGGGACGCCGAAGGTGTTGGAAAGGCAGTTGTGCGCTGTCGCTTGCTGGGGGAGGGGGAGGTCTTGAAAGGCGGAGCGAGAACGGTGCTATCTCTCTCCTGGTTTTTATGCCCCCCCATCCAGTGCCCGTCCTTCGCCCTCTCGCTCTATCCCGAGCGACCTCGTTCCGATGATGGTGCAAGGGAGCACGTGCACGGGTGTATTGTAAGCTGTTCATGGTGATGGTGATGATGCTTCTGCTGATGATGCTGGTGCTGACTCTGATTGTGGTAGTGATGATGCTGGTGGACCAGGAATGAGAGATATGATGGAGGATACGGAGGCTGTACGAGGAACCACAGGAGGGCCATGAAGGGGGAGGGGGTCTAGGAGGGAATGGGAGATGGAGGAAGGAGGCATGGGGGAAGAAGGAGGAGGGACGAGAGAGACGGAGGCGCAGTGCGACATGAGGAAAGCGGCGGGGAGGCTGAGAGAGGAAAAGGGAACGAGGAGGAGGATGAGGAGGAGGCGCCAAAGGAGAGAAGTGATGAAGAACAGCAGATGGAGGAGGAGGGGGAGGCGGAGACGGAGGCGGAGGCGGATGCTATTCATTGGGAGATGCGAGATGATAAGATTGTGATCTGCGAACGTACGGGGGGAATAATGAGGCGCGGACGCTGGATCAGACAGGAAGGAACATGCTTACGGGCAGAGATGAGGGATGAGGATGTGGGGGGGGGTGATCATCTGGAGGATATTGAGGAGGAGAAGAATCGGGTTCCGAAGGAGAGGTTACAGATTTACGAGGGGAGGAGAGAGAGAGAGAGAGAGAGAGAGAAGGATGATTCAGACGAAGAGAAAGAGAGAGAGAGAGAGAGAGAGAGATAGAGAGAAAGAGAGAGAGAGAGAGAGCGAGAGAGAGACAGAGAAGGGTGGAGGACAAGGAAGAGGAATGAGGAGGAGGAGTAGGAGGAGGAGGGGGATGGGGGACCGTGTTCGGGCCCTCTTGTGCCTTCTTGGGGCTCTAGTGAACACGAAAGGGTCAAGGACAAGGAGAGAGCACGCGGACGGTGATGAGGGGGAGGAGGAGGAGGAGGAGGAGGAGGAGGAGGAGGAGGAGGAGGGGGAGGAGGAGGAGGAGGAGGAGGAGAACGAGGAGAAGGAGGAGAAGGACAGGAGGGGGATGAGGACGAGGAGGGGAGAGGGGGGGGGAGGGAAGAATTTTTTAGGCAAGGGAACGAGAAGAGGCATCATGGGGGGTGAGGGGGCAGAGCAGAAGTAACATGACTAGGAGGAGTGGTGAGAATATGCTGGTCCTGGGGAGGAGGAGAGGAGATATGAGGGTAGCGATGGAGGGGCACACGAAAGAGAGGACACGCGCATGATACCACAAGGACCCCCTCACAGAGACACGGAGGCAGAGAGGGAGGATGATGAAAGGAAGAGACAGAGAGAGCTAGAAAGAGAGAGAGAGAGAGACATCATAAGAAGGAGCGAGGCAGAGAGGGAGAGAGAGAGAGAGAGAGACAGAGAGAGGTCCGTCTCCCTCCCCTCGACTCCCCCTTCCCCATCATCCCCTCGCCTCTCGTCCTTTCCCCCTCCCTGTGTGTGCCCCCCCCCCCCCCCCGAAGAGGCAACCCCTTCGCCGGCGTGTCCCTGTTCTCGTCGCCGACGGGAGGCCGCCCGCCGTTCGGGGCGCCGGGCGGGGCCCACCTCCCTCGCTCTCGCACGGGCATGAAGTCGGGCGTGGCCTTCGACCAGAGGAGTAGTCAGAAACAGTTCAGAGAAGGCAGAGGTACCCACACCTCTACCCTCCCCTCGGTTTCCCCGTTTTGGGCCTCCTGGGAGGCCCTCGTCGCCGCCGTTGGATTCGCCTCGACATTCGGGCCAGAACGCACCCCGGGAGAGGTCAAGGGAGTAGCAGTATCGGTGTTTTTTGGGTTCCCCACTAGTGCGAGAATCGTCGGGGGACGAGTTCTTTACCATGTCTATGTGTCTGATTTTTCAGAGTGTTTTTGAATCATGTGTTCTTGCTCCGCCCGAGGTCCGCCCTGCAAGGGGGACACGCCCGACCCAACACTGGCATTCAGTCGGGCGCGTCCCTCTCCAGGAGGAATGCTCAAACAGAGTCCAGAAATACTGCGGGGACGATGTTTCTGTTGTTTTTTCAGCTATTTGGAAATCTTTTATTGCTCGGGGGTGGACAGATCTCCCACCCTCACACGTCGATAAAGGAATTGGCCGTTTTCGGTTCGCGAGAGGGCGTCGCGGCCGTCATTTTTGCGGGTCCAGGTCCGTCGGTTTCGGTCCCAGGCCGTTTCGGCTAAGGGGAGGTCTACTAAAGGGAGGTTTGTCCACCGCCGAATTGCAGGGGGGCGCGCCCGACCCAACACTTGGCACCCCCGGGCACCGCCCGTGCGCGGCCGCGGGGCAGGCCCGGGGCGGAGCGGGTGCAGGACCGCTGGGCAGGGAGTCGTCACGGGAGGGGCGGCAAGGGGGGGGGGGCGTCCGGGGGGGGGGAAAGGGGTCGGCGGCGAGCGAGGGGTGGAGGTGACAATAGGGTTTTAGTCGGGCGTGTCCCCCTACAGGGGGATTTTCGATGAAAAGTTCGCCGGCCCAACGGGCCAGAGGCGCGCTAAGATTTCCGGTAACTACTTAACAATATTTCTAGTTCGCGCGCGCGGGGCGGCCCTTGGGGGGCCCCGGACGAAAAGTACCCCGGCCGATCCCCCGCTGACCCCCGGGCGATCCCCAGGGGGGAGGCTATTTTTCGCCACC